GAGCTCCAGTCCCTGAAAAAAGATAACCTAACTTCTGGAAGTGGACTGTCTTAACTAGAAGTCCATCAGGTGGTGCTAAAAATGGTGCCTCTTACTACGGCTTTGCATCCTCGGCCGCTTCCTGGAAACAAACCGCTCCTTTCCCGGGGTGAAAACTTCTAAGTCTTTTCAGGGAATTAGTCGATGAAGCTATATTTAAACATCAAATAGAGAAGTAGAGGGGCAGCGGCACGCTCGTGAGCGCACAAGAAGTTAGATTAAAATGGGATTTTATGTTAATTTGCTTAGCTGCTTGGCTTTCCGGTGTACCGTCAGTGCCATTCAGCGTATGTTATCCATGTGCCCGACACGTCTGGATGCACACGTGCCTCCCTACGTGCAAAGCAGAGCGGGTAACGTGTTACACCACGTGTTACACCAGCAGGTGCATTCATTAACGTGTTACACCACCCAGAAGGTGCTTTCATTCCGCGCTGCCGAGGGGCCGGCGGGAGAATCCCGGGCTGCTGGCATCGCTCTGCGGGTCCCCTCGTTGCGGATGAGGGAGTCAGCCTCCCCGGTGCTCGGCACGGGAGGGAGGAGAAGGAGGGAGGGTGGCGGGGCCGGGGGGGGACACGGGGGAGGCAGTGTGCTGCTGCCACAATGGCTGGCACCCTCGGGGGGCCCTTCACCAGTGGGCACTGCCGTCCGCAGTGATGCCAAGAAGCATATGCGAGCAACAGAGGCAAGGGTGAAAGAAGAAAAAAAAAACAACCAAAATGTGCCATAAATATCTCTAGAAAGAGCTAATGACTGGTAAATGTGCTGAATAGAGACAGCAGAACTCATTTTTGTGGATTAATTTGTACCTCTATTAATTCAGTCAGTCTCCTCTTCGCCAACACGTACTTAATGATTCCTGTTGTTATTCTCCCTCTTTCTCTTCGGTGCCCTCCCGGTAATCCTCTTCTGTAACAACACTTAACACTTCTCACAGTGTTTCTGGAAGGAAACTGTTTCCCAAACATGAATGAATTACTGTTCACAAACAACCGGTGAACAACTCCTTTTGTAGGTGTGTTTATACTGTGCCGTGGATAGAGTTGGAATTGTTTTACTGTGTGCGGTAGGACCGACGCGGCGACTAGGTAATGGGGGTCTCCTCAGCTCAAGTGGGGCTCAGAAGTGGGGCTAATCCCGAAAAGCTCTCAAAAATGGGATTAGGAGACGTTCTGAAGAGTCGTGATACTCAAAACAACAGAGCGCGCTGTGAAAAGCTTTCTAGAAATAGTGGTATGGATTATTGTGATATAGAGTGTTCCAGGGCAAGAGCCAGAACCTGTCACAGGATAGTTCAGATTTGGGATGGAGCAACGCTGTTCTGGTGAATCCAAGAGGAGAGGAGTAGGGATTAGGAATAGCAGTTCCTATGCGCAGGCCACCTTTACCAATTTCAGGCTGTGCTTTATATGTGCAAGCATTAAAAGTTTTACTGACTTTCTAATAAATCCAGAGATTGAGTGCTTGGCAAGCAAGATACAGCGTTTTATTTCTTTTCTTAATTTGAGAGCATCGTCTTCCCGATGAAGTCTAAAAAAGAGCTGAACAAAAGATGACTTTGTTTCTGTATAATTCATGAAAGCTCTACAGTTGTAACCTTTTAAGCAGTTATTTTTATTTAAGATGTGTAAATTTCAAATCTTTTTTTAATGGGGTATATAAATGACATAATAAATGTTTGTTTCCAAGATATGGTGCATAATGCATTTCACAAGCAGTTACTGAAATGTGATAGGTTGAGTATATGAATAGCATATTTTATGTAAGTACAATATGTTAACACGGTATATAATAGAATTAAACTAGCTGTAATTTAATATAGCTCTTTAGCTCTGTAAAGCTATAGGGGTGGGGAAACTATTGTCTTTCAGAATTAAAGTTCTTTTTAAGTATTAGCAGAAGGACAATTATTTGCTGATTCTGTATCAAAACTCTGTTGAAGTGCCTTATGTAAAAATTGCAGTTCAAGTCAAGAGAGGCTTGAAACGAAGTTAGTGCATCAATTAAATATGATTACATGGGTTTTTCTGAAGGTAAAAAAAAATATCTATATAATATTATTTAAAATAGTTAACATACAGTGTTTCAACAGGGGAGACGCTGATTAGATCACCACAATCTATTTTATGCCATCAGGATTGCTGAGGGGCTTATAATTGTGTTAAATTTTCATATTACTCATATTCACACATTAATGAACAGATGCATTGTTACTATTGGGATTTTGCCATTTGGCCTTTCCCATCTCCAATCGCGATTCCCCACTGCGATCCTTTACCGGGCTCGCAGCAACTCCGCTCCCCGGTCGGTGGCCACCCCTTCCCCTTCAGTAGCCCCCGCTCCTTTGGGCCACCGGAGTCCCCGGCGGAGTCGGGATGCGGGGTGTTGCGGGGGGGGGGACACACACACACCACGACACGACACTCGGGGGGAATCTTGCCGCTCAGTAAATACCGGTTTTATTGACAAAGCCGCTTCTCCACCCCCACTCCCCACTCCCCCCCGGTGTATGTGGGGGTGGGGGCGGGCTTTTCCCCCCTGCCTGCCGCTAGCCACGGCTAGTGATGCTTTAAGGAGGCAAGTGAAGACAGCGAGCAGATTTGCCTTCCTCGACGAGCGCACGGCGGAGAATATTTTGGCTAGGTTGCGGGGGGAGGGAAAAAAACCAAATTTAAAAAACAAAACAAAACAAAACAAAAAAAGCTCTGTGACCGACTTTGCTGACAAGAGACTTTGCAAATAAGACTTTTTGGGTGCCTGGAGGCTCCGGAGCCCATTGTCAAGCTCTACAATGGGTTTCTTCTTGCCGCATTCCTGGCTTTTGCAGAGGTTTGTTAGCTTTTCCTGACTGACAGCCCCCTCCTGCAAATACCGCATTCGCTCCGGCCTCCGTACGCGCTACTCGAGAATTTATTATATTTTTTTTTTAAAAAAAAAAAGCTCAGGA